AGTCTGCTCCTCCATGCGCGTGTTGTAGCGCGCCATCTCCTCCTGCATGCTGGTCATGCCCGCCATGAGCGTGGCCATGTCAGCAGCTACTTAGGAATGTTAGCGCCCAACGACCGAGAATAGCGTGCATGTCCACGCACTGAAGTCCGAGCCGGCGCGTTCGGCAGTCTTGCGGTTGGTCGCCGGCCGCTCGGCAGTCTTGACGTTGGGTGCCGGAGCGCCGGCAGCCTTCGGCCGCTCGGCAGCCTGGCCTGAAGGTCCCGCCTCATCCTCCACGATCTCCACGACGTCGTCTTCCATCTTGGCGTCCGTCACAGGCGCGTTGGAGCCCGATGCAGCCTGAGCAGGCACGTTGTCAAGGTCGTCGTCGCCGATAGGCTCGTCCTTCGAGCCCTTGACGAGGGCCTTCGGATTCGACGTGTTGAAGGTCGGGTACTCCTCGAGGTACTGCTCGCGCGTTTCCCATATCGGCTTGAGTTTGCTGAAAATCGAACCATGCTCGCGAGAGCCCTCGTCGCGGGCGAATTCCGTGTCGAGGATCTTGCCGTCGCGCGCCAACCAGCTCGGCCACTTCGGGATCAGCTTCATCTCCAGCAACTCCTCGAAGAGCTCGCGCCTTGTCGCAATTTCCGGGAGCTTCATCTTAGGAATGCCCTCGAAGTGGGAGCTGTTCTCGGTGAGGTAGTCGAAGTTCTCGCCTTTGACGAGGACGGTCGAGTGGGAGGTCGCGGAGCAAACGGCTTTCTTGACGTAGCACGCCAAGCAGACGCCGGCTATGAAGCGGCCGTTCGGTGCGGTCGGCCGGATAACGCAGTCGGTCCCGTTATTGTGGCAGGCCTTGCAAGGTTCCTGTTGACAAGTCAGTTAGGTATTGCGCTAGAGTCAAATGTTGGCGCACCCTGTACCCCGCCAAGTCACCCGAATCGATGCCGTGGAACTCCGGCATCTGGAGGATGGTGTATAGGTCCATCGGCCTGTTGAGCTTGAGGGCCTTTGCGATGGCGAGGTACGCCTTGCGGTCAAACTTGAGCGTCAAGTGCGGAAACCTCCAAGAGACGCCACGCGGGCGCATCCCCTTCTCTTTCCCCTTCCCCTTCGCATCCGGCTTCTTTCCCTTCTTCGGCTTCGCGACCACGACTTCAGCGTCCTCTGCGCTCCCCTCGTCGTCCGAATCATCCACCGTGGCCTCCGAAACCACCCTCTTGCGCCCCTTGCCCTTCTTGTTTGCCGCTTTCGCCTTCGTCTCCTCGGGCTCGTACTCATCGCCGGATGGCTCGCTGTCCTCGGCAACCGCATTTTGCTCCTTAGACTCGTGTTGGGACGGACGGTTGACCTGAACCGAACGACGAGGGCGGTTGCGGCGCGGGGCAGGGTCGGCTGCCGGCCCGGCCGACGGTGCCGGATCAGCCGGAGCGGCCGCCGCAGCCGGAGCAGCCGGAGCGGCCGCCGCAGCCGGAGCCGGAGCCTTGGGGGCGGCCGTCGCAGTGGGGGCTGCCTTGGACGCGGAGGGCGCACGCCCGCGGGGCGCAGGCGGAGGAGCGGGTGCGGGAGCGGGAGCGGGAGCGGGAGATGCGGCCTTGGTGGCAGCGGGAGATGCGGGCTTGGCGGACGCGGCGGTAGCCGGTGGCTGAACGGAAGGGTCGATCTCGCCCTCGGCGTCCACGTCCTCGGTGCTGTGAATAGGCAGCGCCTCGGCTATCAACTAGTTAGTAAATAAAGGAGAAAAAAGAAACAGCGGACGCACGCATGAGCGCCCACCAAATGTGGTTTTCGGACTCCTCCGACAGTGTGTCGATGTCGTCCACCTTGTTGTTGGCCGTCAGGAGAGCCTTGCGCGCGAGGGCCGAGATGTGCTGTTTCTTCTCAGGGTTATTCCCGCCTGTGTTGGTGAAAAGGAAGAAAACCGCGCTCCTGAGAGCGCCGTGAGCGAGCTCGGGCGGCCGGAAAGCGTTGACCTGTAACGGGTGTCAACATTAATGAAACGAGCGGCGTCAAGCCAACAGGCCACGTACCGCTTCAAGCATAAGGCAACCCAGCCCAGCGTGCGCAATATCCGCGTTCCCGACGCGCGCCAGACGACGCAAGGCCGCGATCGTCCGCATGTTGGCCTTGACGATCCGAGTCTTGTCCGGCATGCCGTTGTAAATCTCCACAAGACCTTCTTTAAGCATGCCGGAGGCGTAGGCCTGCAGCATTTCGAGTGAGAGATCGTCCATAGCGATGACTGTGAGCGTAGCTAGGGTTGTGCGGCGGTGGTGGTGGTGGTGGTGGTGG